AGCCTCCGACCACTGCACCGCGGTTAGAGTAGTAAATTATAAATATTTGTGGCAAGTAGTCTGAACTAAGAAAAAGTAAGAATGCTACGATTTTGGTTAACAACAAATGTGTCCCTAAAAATAAGAAGAAAATGAATAGATAACACCAAAAAATAATGAATATATGTCGAAATATGATAAATGAATGCCTCTTCTTATTGTTCTCACGTATAGGAAACTTATAAAGCGCAAAGTCATAAGGATATGAAGATAAACGCAGAAAATGTAAAACTTAAAAAGTGCTTTCGGTAAAAAATTTCCAAAGCGAAATTTTCAACGATGTTGACGGTCAGAGTCAATAACTGGACAATCACAAGCCAATGGATTTAAAGGATCGGTTCCCTGCTTCTAGAACGTGGATTCATTTATGTCTGCCGTATGTCATGGCTAGAACATGTTTACGGGTACATGAATCTGGCACGTCGATTCGACCAAAAGCCTACTATGTAGGGCACAGGAAGTGGATAGGAGGCAGTTGTAGCTCGCCCACAGTGCTATGTTTGCAAAAAATGAGCATAACAAGCTACTTTACGAAATACCTCCTTTAGATGTAATAAGCTTGACCTGGTCAAGTTACTCTTGTAGTTACAGTCTTTTCAAGAATCCTAAAAATAAAAGCGCTTATAAGTGAATATGATGAAGTCCGTCCTAACCAAGAAAACAAAGCCGAGCTCTTTGGTAACGAATGAAGATTTTATTGGTGCTCGTTTGTTTCACTAACTGATCAAGGAGATTACAAGTGGTACACTTTTTACAACTATGAGAACTTCGGTACTAGATTAACTTTCTGTTATTACGGTAACGACAAATTCAGAAGAAAGAAATCAAGTAGGATGCAAGAGTTACGTGGCCTAATAAAGCGACAGTTGGTATCTATGACCAGCCGACCTTGGCCATCGGTTTCCAGCAAGATCAAGAATGCCCCATCGATCGACGGTGTAAAAAATGGATTGTGATCAAGTATGCCATTATATGCCAGTATGCCAGTTTTGTAGTGAGCATTTAAACGAACAGTTATCGGTTATCAGCACTGTCGCTCTAAGGATTGAAAAAATATTAAAATTGGACGCTTGTAGCTTATTAATTGGAAGTGCCACTCAGTACACATGTTCTCTTTGGTTCCCTTGTCCTGGGCTAACCATGCCCTTTATGCATGAAGGGTGGCAAATTGATGGCCGGTCTTCCCATGAAAACGCTGAGTTGCTACATCACTAGGTTCATGCAAGTTACTAAATGGGCCATATGTTTTTTCAATCGCCTCTACGACACTACGAGTGGAGTTGAACAAGTGTCACTGAGTGATAGATGAACGCGAAATGCTTCAGTTTTCTATCTTTTACATCGAAAGGCTCGGATTCTAAAAGCCGCTCGTATACCTTTATTATTTTCCACGTAGCATAAACTACAGTGCGCAGTGGTCGGAGGCGCTTTGCAATACACATGGGATCGATCCCAGTGCCTATATGGCCCACCAAGTCTTCCATCCCTTGTGGTAGGAAAATTGGCACCAGACTTGTATAGGAGGATAGCAGCACTGGCTCGATACATCGGTAGGCCACCGTGAGTCATTGTAAAGGCCAGATATGAATTCAATCACCAACAAACGATGCTTAATGAAGTCGAATGCATAGGTCAATCCTTAGAGAGTGATCAACCCTGAGCTTTATCCTTTCTATGTACTACAGTATGACTTTGCCACCTCTTCTCAGAGACTGACTTATTTCCCGTTTTCCATTCTTGCTATTGTGTCGAAGTTGAATGAACACTTTACCGGCATTCAGCAAAATCACTTCACAACTGGAGTGATCGAGGAATCAGAATATACCAAGGAAGGGAATCATGCTTTTTTCTGAGTCTCCTTTAGTTACCGGGCAGACGTCTAGTGTTTATGATGAAACTAATACTGAACTAGCCGAACATCGAACTGTTGTGACATATTCCCATGTCTATGACATAGTTAAGAAAATCCATGAACTGCGCGCCATCACCACATTTTGTAGGATAACACCTGTAGTACAACAAAAACCAATCTAATGCAGACTTATCTGTTTGCTAAGTGAACCTTATTTTCCACTGATTTTATTTGGTCGTCAAATACCATATAATATATTTACAACATGATCAAAACATATTTTTAAACACAAAATACAGCCCATTTCTAAAACGACCCTGCGTAGGATAGCATGCAACCTTTATGAGCTTCAAGATCGACACCGCTATCAGGCCAAGCAAGAAACATCAAATAGAGATAAAAATCAAGAAGCGGCGACACTACCACCATCTCCTTTCCCAAAAACGTTCTTTAGACAGCAGGACCCTAACGATGGAGTTGACATAAAATTCCGCGCGTTTTCGGACGGCGTTCTCAAGACCCTTGATCACTACCGCGATAGAAAGTTTATCTCTAACCTTAGAGCCGCACAAATATGCGGCATGCGGGAAATTAGAGAATTAATAAACTAGAAAACAATAAGATTGTCTGTTAGTGATAAGGGGGGAGAGTTCGTAGTTATCCCTCGCCAGCTGGATGTTGAGATAACAGAGGAACACTCTCTATCGATCATCCTCTGAAAAGGAATATAAAAGTCAATACCGAAAGCTAAACAATCAATGGGTCAGTGTGGCAAAGGCTGTTATTCCGCACTTTAAAATTGATAGACCAACATTTCCCGTCCTATACCTACTTATTAAAACATATAAGTTGGTATCACCTGATGATCATCCGTCAACCAATCCATCATCATTTAAGGTTAGACCGATCATCAGCTGTGTAGACGGGCCAATGGATAGAATAACCTGGTTTTTAAGCCTGATACTCACCCAGTTGCTTAACCACATTCCAGCCCACCTCACAAACACCCAAATGTTCCTAGAACGTCTACGTAACGCGTCTCCTAATAACGCGTACGTGATGGAGTCTTTCGACGTTACCGCACTGTACACCAACGTATCGAATGACTCCGCAATGTAAGCCATCTTCGAACTTCTTGTTGAACATGAAGGAAGAATAAATATGCATGGCTTGTCCATCCAGCAGCTAATGGCTCTCTTAAAGGAGTGTCTAAACTGCTCGATTTTCAGATGGTCTGGGAAATATTTCGCGCAAAGGAGAGGGTTGGCATTGGGACGGTTGAAGTCTAGCCATCGCGTTCATGTCTAGAATAGAAGCCCCTGTTTTCGATCTCCGGCCACTACTCTACTGCAAATATGTAGATGATTGTTTTGTCGCCTTCTCTACGCAGGAGGAGATGGACAAATGCTTTGAATTATTGGTCGAGCAGTCCGAGTACATAAAGTTCACCCGGGAGAAACCGAGAGAAAACTGGTTTTCCGTTTTTGGACGTCCAAATAAACCTATCAAGTAGCGGTTACCTGACAAAGTGGTATCGAAAGCCAAGTAACAAGAACATTCTTGTTCATTTCCTTTCTTCCCACCCTTCACACACAAAGAGGGCGATTGTGAGAAACATGTTTCGAACAGCCACCTCTGTGTGCACTATAAAGGAACTAAAGGAAGAATCGCGCGACTTGGCTCGGCAAATAGCCATCTCCAGTGGCTACGATATAGTAACCCCACGAGATAAGTTTACAAGGAGAACGACGCGCCCACGCGAAACACTTGGCCGAAAGAAAGCCCCGTTCATGTTACCTTTTCTAAGCGATGAAGTAGCGTAGCTATAAAACGATGCTTAAGAAGGGCACGTCAAGAGGAATCGGTAGCGATAGTTGAAATACCACCGGCTACTCTACGTCGCCAATTAGTTCGCAACTGCCTGTATGACCGTCTATGTAAAACAACAAATTGCGTAATTTGCCCTTACGGCAGGGACGGTGATTGCATGAGTTCAGGTACGATATACCTGATCTCGTGTAACAATTGCGGAGATGAATATATTGGCGAAACGGGCAGACCTTTGTGTATCCGCATAAAAGAACACCTAGATGGCAAACGAAAACTAAGACGAAGCACCCCACTAGGCACGCATAGGATACAAAAGCATAGCGGAGACGATTTTGAAGTAAAAGTCAATATCCTTGCACAGGAGTCCAAAACACCAGCGCGAAAACTCCTCGAGGCTTTTTAGATCAATGCCAAAAACCCTGTAATGAATAGCAGGGATGAATGCCCGGAGGTCATACGCGACCTGATCCCGTACATTCGCATTGATTTTTGATGTGGGATGGTGCAGTCGTCAACCACATGCGACTATAATCAGCTGTTCTAAACTTCCTCATTGGAAGTCACGAAAAAAGCGGTGAGTTTTTCGAGGAGCTGTTGATCATGTAATTACCAAAGAGTCTTTCGTCTTTTTGTAAGTGTTATTAAAGCGTTTGGCCTAGTAGATTGTATATCAGTATACCCTTCCAGGCTCTGAAGAAGGCGATACTGCCGAAAGGTCAGCTAGTGTTGTATTGTATTGTGTTTTTTATGGAAGTAAATGTATGCTGTTTAAAAACCTCGCGATTGCTGAACAAGGAAACGACACATTCATATTCCAATGCCGAGGTTAAGAGAAAGTCGATCCTGGGAACTATTACAAAATATTAACTTCAATGACAGGCGAACTAGAACTAGAACTAGCTTAGAAACAAGCGAAACAAAGGACCCGCGTGGTGTGGTGGTGGACGCGCTGCTCCCCGGAGAGGACAATAGCGCGTTCGTTCCCCACCTCATACACCTGCGGTCCGGAGTTTTGCAAATATCTCAGCATCATTGAAGTTATATTTCACAATGTATACCCTGCCGTTAAAAAAGAGAGTAGGCAGTAAATAATAAGTTAAAACAAAATATTAAATTTCAAGTGGTCCTGAACCGAATTTTACTGCAAGACGCTGAACGGACCGATGTAATCACCACACAAAGGAAATGTATTTTTATTGATTGGAAGTAAGTCATATGATTGATAGATGGTTTTAAATTGTGGCTCAGATTAATATCAATAATTCACATCACGAGGACATTACTGTTTTTTCTTAAGATTTTCCACTGCCTCTTTCAAGATCTCGGCCGCAGTTGTATGGTATTTTTCTCTTTGAGCGAAGAACTAAAAGGATTATAATAACAAAAAGGATGAAGGATGAGAAATGCCGTGTAGCATCGCTATCGTACCTTGACAACTTCTCGCTGGTTAGTGAAAATAGTTGAAGGAAGCTCATCGATAACTAGTTGGATTTTAGACGCCTTTAAAAAAGTTGTAGCTAAAATGGCTCTCTATTTATTGCAAGGGTATCTAAATACTTACCTGCTCGTTGAAGTTTCTCACTGTTTTTTGATATAACACACCTTTCTCTTCCAGTTCTTCCTTTGTCTTGGAATTTTTAACCTACAAGAATTCAATGAAAAATTATCTTAGGATACATTTTCGTACCCAAAAGTTTACTTAACAGTAAAATTTCTTCTTTCATAAAAAAGCCCAAATAGAGCGAAATAGTTCTACTGAAAGTTCCACTCTGAAAGGTTCGAAGTCTACTGTGGTCAATCAAAGCATAAATTAGTAGAAATAGTTGAGTTCAAGAATACTCTCACATCGAAATAGGTGAAAGTTGGCTCGTTCTCAACTTTTTATTTACCGTCTACCACATTATTCCAAGGCAGAGTACTATGCGAAATGAAAGATAAAAGAATGAAGCTCTTGGTGTTGATCAATCCCTGAGGGATGCGCCGTGTATTCGGCTTCATCAAGCATCGTTTGGAGGTGATTAAATACATATCTGACCTTTACAATAACTCGTGGTGGCTTGCTGATGTATCGATCATTTGCCGACCCCACAGGGGTGGAAGGCTTGGTAAGCCATGGGCGCGGAGTCGATTACACGTGTGTGTTGCAGGGCGCCTCCGACCACTACGCCACACGCGCCCTTATGTGAAATATTTTGTAATGAATATTGTAATAAATATAGGCAAATTAAATAATACAACTAGATACAAGTATGAATACAGTAAATGTGGATAAATTGCAGTTCACCGTTTCTAAAAAAATTTTTTGGTAACTTGCAGGATTAGAAATCTTGACTAGTTTCCCTCGCTCTATCGCTGTAACTGCAGGTATCTAGGGGAGCACGCTCGTTTCAACGTAATGAAATCCATTCATAGCATTATTCTCTTCAGTAGTTGTATATTTCAAAATCTGAATTGATAGCGGAGATAGACGGCGCGGTTATTTTCTTTAAATATGTTCAGGGCGCGTGTGGCGCAGTGAACGCAGGCGCTCTGTGACACACAGATGGTCGATCCTCGTGCCCTTGGCTCGGCAAGCCTTCCATCCTTTCGGGTTGAGTAAATTGGTGCCAGACTTGTCTGGGAGGATAGCAGCACTGGCTTGATACATCGGTAGGCCACCGCGAGGCGAGTCATTGTAAAGGCCAGATATGCATTCAATCACCTCCAACGATGATACGAATGAGTCGAATGCATGTCGCATCTCTCAGGGATAAATCGACGCCGAGAGCTTTTTACCTTTGCATTCTATTGCCATTATTATTACTACCACTATCAATGTATTCACCACTTATCTCCGCGTGAAAAAGCCAAAACTTGCACAAAAGGATAAAGGATAAAGCTCTCGGCTTTAATCAAGCCTTGAGGGATGCTCCATGCGTTCGACTATATCAAACATCGTTTGGGGGTGATTGAATGTACATCTGGCCTTTGCAATGACTCTCGGTGGCCTACCGATGTATCGAGCCAGTGATTCTGCTTTCCCAGACAAGTCCGGTATCAATATGCTGATCCCGGAAAGATGGAAGGTTTTGTGAGCCATGGGGCGGAAATCGATTCCACCTGTGTGTTGCAGGCGCCTCCCACCACTGCTCCACGCGGGCCCTAAAACTTGGATATGAACACAAATTTGCGAACAGCGGCAGTTCTATTGGCTATTATTGTTGAGATAAACGCCATAACTCTTTTTTAACAACACGTGAATTTATGTCAGTGCATAATATGGATGGACAGGGTGGACGTTTTGCAAAGATTTGAATCAGTGTGTGAACGAGTATAGATGTTATTCCAAACATGATCCATACAACACTACATTCTGCACTTAACAATTTACAGAGAACTCCTTTTGGACGGATATTTAAACGTCGGCGAACAGAGAGACTGTTCCAACTGGACAGCATACCGAACATAATACTTCGAGTTCGACGTAAGTGAGTTTCTACCCATACATAGGTGTCCAAGTGGGACGATATGAATTCATATCAACTCATTGCTAGTGCGACCAGCAATCGATGACTCCATAAATAATCATAATTTCACAGTACCTCATGTCGTGCAACATCCATCTGTAACAATCCTTCATTCATTTTTTCCACATCAGCTTTCATCTCTTTATTATCGACGGTAACAAACCGCCGTATTCGTCGAATAGCAGCTCGTCCTGTAAGATTTTATTAGGAACTTTACTTATTTAAGGTTTTTAAGAAATATATGAATAAATGCTACTAAGATTTAAACGAAACCAGTCAACCACAAAAAGGTTAGCGATAACAACACGATATTACTTGGTTATCTGATGAGGATCAGATTCCTGATTTACCTTTAGTCTGAGCAGCCCTCTCTGTTGATGCCATGTTATTCATTGCATTGATTATTATATCCAGGCGAGACTGTAATTCACGCTTAATGGGTCCTGTATTCTGTGATTTATCTCAAGGCCCTTCGTATAGGACTTTAAAGTATTCTTTTCTTCATATTGAGTTAATCAACGAGTGTTATTTATGTGAGTATAAGGTCCTAGTTCCTGGAACTTTGAAGCCATTGCTAATTATAACATTGCTAATATGTTGTGGTGCCACTTAGTCCGTACAAAGTTCTGTGTCAACCCCTTCCGAGGCCATCTAATCCGCTTATTTCTTTGAGAGAAATCTGTGATTGATTTGTTTGTGATGCGTTTCCGGCGATTCGAAAAGATAGCGATTGTAAGTAATGGAGATGTGGCAACCATCTAGAAAACGAAACTTCGTATTCCAGAAAGAATCGACTCGACCAGCATTCAGAGACGTTTGTAAGGATGACCAGATCCCTACGCAACAGCTAAATTTTTACGCAAAAAATCTGGTGACCTTCACGGATGGTGGTTGTGAGACGAAAGACACGAGTCGAAAGTGTAAGAACTTCTGGCATCCGAATAGTAGGTGTGAAGAAAGGATGTGTTAAAAAAATATACAGCCTTAAGATAGGAGAACGGGCAAAACGTTATCTATAATTTCGCTATCGCAACCACCGAAAAATTCGCATGGATATCAAAATGTATAAATAAAAGCCTAAAAGGAAGGATCTTCGCTGTAAATGAAGAACATTATGATCAGACCCTTTTCAATCCTTTTATGAAAATAGTATGACATCCCATAAATATTATCGATAAGGTGAATTAATAACAATTACCAACCAATTGCTATTAACGAAATGGTTGTGTTAATATCCATTTGAAGAGAAGCAACTCACTTCTAATCTGTTGTTTACAAACTGTTTTAGCTTTGTGCAACCTGATGCCGCCAATTCGTAAGGATTTTGTTTTGGTGGTGAACTGATGGCTCCAGTTTCCAGTACTTTCCGATTTGGCTTAACAAATTGCGAGAAATATCGGAAAGACTGATATATAGGTTAAAAAAAGCGCTTACTTGAATCATCAGCTCCAATCCGTCTAAAGCACCGTCAAGTGCTAATCTATAGGATTCGACTTTGCTAATTCCTTCTTTAAATGTTGGTTCTAATTTCGTTTCCTCAACTAATCCTATCCTTTCCGCGGCCTAAAACGACTATGATGCATGGGCAGATCTCAGGAAAAAATTGCGGTATCGGTGATTTTTCAATGGGCTGCATTACCTTTTGGATCATTGCGAGACAACTGTGATTAAATAATTCGTTAAGATTCGTGAATCAAGAGCAATTAATCTCAATTTGACATCAATATGACATTAATGTTAAATTCTATCGAAAATTTCAGCGAGTTGGAATTTAATGTAGGGGTCAAAGTTTAAGCGCCGATAACTCATTCCTTCATTAAAATCACCCAAGTTGAGAAAAAGTTCGAAACCTGCACCCTGAGGGGTGTTCCACGCATTCGATTTCATTATGTATCGTTTGGAGGTGATTCGGCGTATAACTGCCCTTTATGATGACTCACGGTGGCCTACCGATGAATCGAGCCAGTGCTGCTATTCTCCCAGATAAGTCTGTTACCGATTTTTTTTCGACCCCGGAGGGATGGCAGACTTGGTGAGACAGGTGCGCGCGGGAGTCGATCCTATTTGTGTGTGTTTCAGGACGCCTACGACCACTACGCCAAATGAGCCTATATTGTTAACATTAAGCACTAATTTTGTTAACATCCACGTTATTAGCAGTAATGCTGAAAATATAGGCTTTTCGAGACAGTTAAATAATAATTGAGACGACATGGATGTAACACAAAGGCGAAGCTGCCACGTCGAGACGAACAACAAGCATGGACCATCGACTCGGGTCATTGGCTCTGAGGAAGACGAAGACGTCGAAACGTTAGCCGAAAATGAATAAATATCATAATCAACTTCTTGTAGGCTCATCAAAGAAAGAATACATAAAGAAATAGAGTTTTGAAAGAATTTGATATTAAATGCCTTGCTGCTTCTCCTAATACAAATTTTCCAACCCATAGACTAAATAATTCTTACATCGAAAATAGCACTATTTCCCTAGGCAGAATTTCCGCTTCGAGTTCTATGAAGAGACGAACTTATGCATCACTTCATTTAGAACAGTAAAGCATGTAAAATATAATAATGTTTGTAATTACAACATGAGCGACTCATAGATTCGGCTACGATCTCGAATCAATCGAAACTGATACTTTCTTGCGCATAAGGGTAAAATACTACACATTCGCCTGTCAAGAATGAAATTCTTATTCATAGGTTTGCCGCTTTACAGTAGTAGCATAGGAATGGTGTGTTACGCACGAAATGATCATCATACGAAAAGATCAGATATGTGTACAGGTAGCTGAAGTTGTTCAGAAAACTGAGAATACAAGGAATGAATTTGCTCTACAAAACAGACTTTCTATCGTCTGTTACTGATCGGTAGCAAAAATTTTTTTAGAATTAAAGTGATGGCGGCTATTAGCCAAAGACCTGAAAATATCAACTAGCTCAGCTGTTTCGCAGTGTCAAGGGATTAAATCATAAAGATCTATCTTCCCTCATGACAAAACATTACAGGTACCTCTTTGTCTCGTTTTGCATGCTATACCTCAGTGGCGATGGCTATATTCAAACAATTATGTTATCTCTATGTTTAGTTAGCAGAAAACTTGTAAGTAAAAACCTTCTGTGGATTAAACTCTCGGCTCAGACATGTCTGGCACCAATTTGCCGATCTCAGAGTGATGGAAGGCTTGGTAAGTCTGTGGCATGGTCGGACCAGCACCGTCCCATGTGTAACACCCGGTCAATCCCATTGCACGGTTCCTCTCATCATTGTGCTACACTCGCCCTTTAGAACACGCGTAAGCATCACATCAAACCACCACAATCAATTTTATACCCTATTTTATAACAAGGATTCGTTCTGGAATAGCCAATTAACGTTTTAATCCCGTGCAACGTAAAAACGATGTCGCAAAATGTGATTAGTCAAGCAGAGTCAAATATTTAACAATTTAATAGGCATAAGGAGTAAAATAGGGCAGCACTTCATGTACGCCGACTAACTGACTAACTCATTCAGTATTGTGCCGACGATATTCTACAGCAATATTCACTTGTTTCCGGTTTTGCTGTGGCATATCGACAAGTGCTTCACTCCTTGTGTTGTATTTATTAGATTTATTCTCATTCCTGTTGTATTGACGCAATATGCAGATCCCAGAACGTCCTCCACTGGTATCATACCTTGCTTTCTGTCATCCATGATAGTCTTCGGACTTACATAAGAATCCGACCAGTACTTGAGGGCTTTTGGTTTTCTTTATGAGTCTCAATTCAATAGATAAGGCTAAAGCAGTGACTAGCCGTGTGCTAAATGCACCTCTATTCACTGTGCTTGGTCCACCCTACTTGTTAGATGCGTAGATTAATATGGCTCCCTGCATCATATGTACGCCTGCAAGTGATCAAGTAAAAGTAACTCGATGGGACTCTGCTATCATCGGTGCCATTCGTAACTGTTCCGCATTAGACCCAGACGCGAGTGGACGTCACTAACTAGAAGGATATGAATAGAGACTGAACTAAGAAACCCTTTATTACTACTGTATTCGGCGATGTCACCCACGGATAGCTCATCGGTTCTGCCGAAGGTTTACTCATATATGGATTTTTGAATGGGAATATGGGAATCCTTTTCAGATTTCGTGAGCACCTAGAGGATTAATCTAGCTGCACGTCAGAGTTTGACACCACGAGCATCTCTAGCCATGATGAAGTGGCCATAAGTCGTTAGTAACGGGGATAAATGGCTGCTGATTATTTTATCTTGCTAAAGAATGGATTGCAGACGTATTTAGGTGAAATTAATTAAAAGAGATATCACCATTTGTGGGCGCGTGTGGCGCAGTGGTTGGAGGCGCCATTGCTACACACACGTGGAATCGATCCCCGCGTCCATGGCGCACCAAGCCTTCCTTCCCTCCAGGATCGGGAAATTGGTACCAGACTTACCTTGGAGGACAGCAGCACTAACTCGATACATCGGTAGGCAACTGCGGACCATAGTGAAAGGCAGACATGCATTCAGTCACTTCCAACGATACTTAATGAAGTCGAATACATGGCGCATCTCTCAGGGATTGATCAACGCCGAGAGCTTTATCCTTTATTGTCACCATTTTTGTTAACGATAAAATGATGAAAACTGTTTCCAAGTTACTAGAACAACACTTACTAAAATCGTTTATAAGCAACACTAATCTTTAACATTTCTGCAATTCTCTTCAACGTTGGAAAGCGAGAACCAACTTGTTAACAATGGAAGGAAAGTGGATATTACCCCAGCCAAAGTTTGCCCCACGTCACCACCACCGCAGGTAGTCGCCACCCTTGTAGGTCAGAGGGAGATTTGTCACCACGCGACTAGTATGATACCAGGAAGGTGCTAGATCCTGGTATTGGTTTACTCTTAGCTAGGCTTCGTGATGGAAACGCTGCACTTCTTGTAAACTCGTGAGGCCCTGCAGGGGGTATGAAATTCTCCACTGTACATCGCACTCCGACACCCAGGAATACCTCCCAACCACGATGGGGCGGTAAAGAGTTGGGAGGATATACATATATATA